CAATCAGGAGGCGTGTAACACTCAGGCAGCCAATCAGGAGGCCTTTGACATTCAGCCAGTCAATCAGAAGGCGTGTAACACTCAGCCAGCCAATCAGGAGGCGTGTAACACTCAACCAGCAAATCAGGGTGCGTGTAACACTCAGCAAGCCAATCAGGAGGCATCTAACACTCCGCTAGCCAATCTGGAGGCGTGTCACACTCAGCCAGCCAATCAGGAGGCATGTAACACTCAGGCAGCCAATCAGGAGGCCTTTGACATTCAGCCGGCCTATCAGGAGCCGTTTAACACTCAGCCAACCAAACAGGAGGCATGTAACACTCAGCCAGCCAATAAGGAGGCATGTCACACTCAATATGATGTTAACAGAGTGTAGATCCTACTGACTCTCTGCTCGAACTGTCAGAGCTCCGTTAGTAACGTGTGCACAGCTCCCAACCGTGCAGTGCCGTGTGCACTGAGCATCTAGGAGCTAGGAGCAGGTGAATGAAGCGGCAAGAAAGGACTTAACGTTACCTTTAGGGGCAGAAAGAGGGAGAGGAAGGAAGAGAAAGAGGAGAAACAACGAGAAAGGTATGTCTTGGTAATGTAACATTTATTGATATTTTCTGCCAAATACATTAGCCTATAATAGCAAATTTGCTAGCTAACATTAGTTCAAAACGTCTTACTAGGTTAGATAACGTTAGTTTAACGTTACTATTCAAGCTAACGTTGTTGTGTTTGTGTAATACTTTGAATAAGTTGATTCTCAGTGTATATATATTATTCTGGGTCACTTTTTGGCATCAAAACAACGTTTTTGATAACGTTTGATAGCAAATGTTTAATAACTAACGTTAATTACAAACGCGGTGACGTTTGTTAGCAATATGGTTTTACATTAATGAATTCATTTAGTTAACTTATAGTTTGAGGTATGTTGTTTGCTGCAGAGCACAGTAATTTATGTGAGTAAATAAACATATTCCTTTTACATCAACCCCCTATTATGCTCATACGTTATATGAAACTTCCCCAGGAGCACTGTTAAAGTATTTAGGAGGAGGCACTGACTCAGCCCAGGGGCAATCCACCTCCTCAGGAGCAGCCAAGGCTGATGAATCAGGTGATCAGAAACTGTTACCATATATATTTAATTTCTAGTCAAATGATCTCATAAAGATATACTAATATAAGATATAATCATATGACAAGGAACATTTTTTTCATCTCAGGTCCATCTCTATCCTCTGCTCCATCCACTGTGCCCACTGTCCTCTCTGCAACCTCAGCTGTACCTGGTAAGTTAACAACAGAACAACCTTTATAATTGCTCAGTGTACTGCAGAATATTCTGAGATGAATAATTTTGTCCAAAAATATTATTTTAATTTCCCTATAGGTCCTTCATCTTTGGTCATGGAGATTGATGTGTCTTCTTCATCATCCAGTTTGGAGCAGGGATCAGCAGCTCCGCCAGTTGACCCAGCAAGGGTCAAGGAAGCCAATCAGGAGGCATGTCACACTCAGGCAGCCAATTAGGAGGGATGTAACACTCAGGTAGCCAATTTGGAGGCTTGTAACACTCAGGCAGCCAATAAGGAGGCGTGTCACACTCAGGCAGCCAATTAGGAAGGGTGTAACACTCAGGTAGCCAATCAGGAAGCCTTTGACACTCAGCCAGCCAATCAGAACGTGTGTAACACTCAGCCAGCCAATCAGGAGGCGTGTAACACTCACAAAGCCAAGAAGGAGGCGTGTCACACTCAGCCAGCCAATCAGGAGGCGTGTTACACTCAGCCAGCTAATAAGGGGGCGTGTGACACTCAGCCAGCCAATGAGGAGGCAAGTAACACTCTGCTAGCCAATCTGGAGGCGTGTAACACTCAGCCAGCCAATCAGGGGGCGTGTAACACTCAGCCAGCAAATCAGGAGGCGTTTAACACTCAGCCAGCCAATTAGGAGGCCTGTAACACTCAGCCCGCCAATAAGGACGCGTGTCACACTCAGGCAGCCAATTAGGAGGGGTGTAACACTCCGGTAGCCAATCAGGAAGCCTTTGACACTCAGCCAGCCAATCAGAACGTGTGTAACACTCAGCCAGCCAATCAGGAGGCGTTTAGGACGCAGCTACCAATCAGGAGGCGTGTAACACTCAGACAGCCAATCAGGAGGCCTGTAACACTCAGCCAGCCAATCAGGATGCGTGTAACACTCAGCTACCAATCAGGAGGCGTGTAACACTCAGCCAGCCAATCAGGAGGCGTGTAACACTCAGCTAGCCAATCAGGAGGCGTGTAACACTCAGACAGCCAATCAGGGGGCGTGTAACACTAAGCCAGCCAATCAGGAGGCGTATAACAGTCACCCAGCAAATCAGAGGCTTGTAACACTCAGCCAGCTGATAAGCAGGCTTTTCAAACTCAGCCAGCCAATCAGGAGGCGTGTAACACTCAGGCAGCCAATCAGGAGGCGTGTAACACTTAGACACCCAATCAGGGGGTGTGTAACAATCAGCCAGCAAATCAGGAGGCGTGTAATATTCACCTAGCCAATCAGGAGGCGTGTCACACTCAGCCAGCCAATAAGGACGCGTCTCACACTCAGCCAGCCAATCAGGAGGCGTTTAACACTCAGGCAGCCAATCAGGAGGCGTGTAACACTCAGCCAGCCAATCAGGAGGCGTGTAACACTCAGCCAGCCAATCAGGATGCGTGTAACACTCATCTACCAATCAGGAAGCGTGTAACACTCAGCTACCAATCAGGAGGCGTGTAACACTCAGACACCCAATCAGGAGGCCTGTCACACTCAGCCAGCCAATCAGGAGGCGTGTAACACTCAGGTAGCCAATCAGGAGGCGTGTAACACTCAGCTACCAATCAGTAGGCATGTAACACTCAGCCAGCCAATAAGGAGGCGTGTCACATTCAGCCAGCCAATCAGGAGGCGTACAACACTCAGCCAGCCAATCAGGAGACATGTAACACTCAGCAAGCCAATCAGGAGGCGTGTACCACTCAGCCAGCCAATCAGGAGGCGTGTCACTCTCAGCCAGCCAATCAGGAGGCTTGTAACACTCAGCCAGCCAATCAGGAGGCGTGTCACACTCAGCCAGCCAATAAGGACACGTCTCACACTCAGCCAGCCAATCAGGAGGCGTGTAACACTCAGGAAGCCAATCAGGAGGCGTGTAACACTCAGTTACCAATCAGGAGGCGTGTAACACTCAGCCAGCCAATCAGAACGTGTGTAACACTCAGCCAGCCAATCAGGATGCGTGTAACACTCATCTACCAATCAGGAGGCGTGTAACACTCATCTACCAATCAGGAGGCGTGTAACACTCAGCTACCAATCAGGAGGCGTGTAACACTCAGACACCCAATCAGAAGGCGTGTAACACTCAGCCAGCCAATTAGGAGGCATGTAACACTAAGCGAGCTAATAAGGGGGCATGTAACACTCAGCCAGCCATTCAGTTGGCAAGTAACACTCTGTTAGCCAATCTGGAGGCGTGTAACACTCAGACAGCCAATCAGGGGGCGTGTAACACTCAGCCAGCAATTCAGGAGGCGTTTTACACTCAGCCAGCCAATCAGGAGGCGTGTCACACTCAGCCAGCCAATAAGGACGCGTGTCACACTCAGCCAGACCAATCAGGAGGCGTGTAACACTCAGCTACCAATCAGGAGGCGTGTCACACTCAGACAGCCAATCAGGGGGCTTGTAATATTAGCCAGCCAATCAGGAGGCGTGTCACACTCAGCCAGCCAATAAGGACGCGTGTCACACTCAGCTACCAATCAGGAGGCGTGTCACACTCAGACAGCCAATCAGGGGGCTTGTAAAATTAGCCAGCCAATCAGGAGGCGTGTAACACTCTGCCAGGCAATCAGGAGGCGTGTAACACTCAGGCAGCCAATCAGGAGGCGTGTAACACTCAGGCAGCCAATAAGGAGGCGTGTCAAACTCAGGCAGCCAATTTGGAGGGGTGTAACACTAAGGTAGCCAATAAGGAGGCGTGAAACACTCAGGCAGCCAATAATGAGGCGTGTCACACTCAGCTAGCCAATTAGGAGGCGTGTAATACTCAGCCAGCCAATCAGGAGGCGTGTAACAGTCAGCCAGCCAATCAGGAGGCGTGTAACACTCAGGTAGCCAATCAGGAGTCGTGTAACACACAGCCAGCCAATCAGGAGGCCTTTGACATTCAGCCAGCCAATCAGGAGGCGTGTAACACTCAGGCAGCCAATAAGGAGCTGTTTCACACTCAGGCAGCCAATTAGGAGGGGTGTATTCAATTCAATTCAATTCAATTTTATTTGTATAGCGCCAATTCATAACAGAAGTTATCTCAGGACACTTTTCAAATAGAGCAGGTCTAGACCGAACTCTTTAACATTAATTACAGAGACCCAACAGTACCACCATGAGCAAGCACTTGGCGACAAGGGCAAGGAAAAACTGCCTGTTAAAAGGCAGAAACCTAGGACAGATCCTCCGGCTCTAGGTGGGTGGTCGTCTGTCTCGACCAGTTGGGGTGAGAGAGAGAGAGAGAGAGAGAGAGAGAGAGAGAGAGAGAGCGAGAGAGAGAGGCAGAGAGAGAGAGAGACAGAGACAGACAGACAGACAGGTGCACAGCAACAACAGTATTGGCAATGGCAGTCAAGCAGGACCATGGCAGGAGGCTCCACCAGGATCCATGAGAACCTGCGAGACGAGAAAGCACAAGAACTCCGGGGAAGAAGTGGAGTTAGTAACATGCATTAATGGGACATGAATGAGTGCATAAAGAGAGAGGAAAGGAGGAGCTCAGTGCACCATGGAAAATCCCCCGATAGTCTAGGCCTATAGCAGCATAACTAAGGGATGGTTCAGGACTCACCTGATCCAGCCCTAACTATAAGCTTTATCAAAGAGGAATGTCTTAAGCCTACTCTTGAATGTGGTGATGGTGTCTGCCTCCCGATTGAACTCCAAGATTCCTGACAGTGGTGCTAGAGGCCAAGTTAACCCATTTGTGCCCAGATTTTTTTCAGAGTTGTAAGGCATATCATTTTATCAGTTGAGTCCCTCTGAATCATATTATGTATTTATTTTTTCCATTTTGTACTTTGTTTTGAAGAAAATAGCATTTTTATGACTGGCAACAATTGTTGCCAGTAGTCACACAGCTTGTCACTAGGTCAAATGTCACCTAATAATAATAGAGAAATAATAATAATAAGATAGTAATAACAAAATAATAATAAAGTCATATTAAATAATAACAAAAAGGTGGAGCCTCAGGTTCCCCCTGTATAAAATTCAAAACAACAAACAATTTGAACTGGTTTCTTTATTCTCAATTTTTTTATACTCAAAACCTCAACAAACAGTTTTTTCTTAGAACCTCTAAAAACATATATATATATATATATATAACATATTTCTTCCCATACATTCCATCATCTTTCATGCATGTTCTACTCAGTGTGGTACTTCTTGAAGCACTCCACATGTAGTGGCACATCACACTTTCCACACGCAAATGATGTGCGTCCGCCACAGTTCTTGCATCGCTTGTACCTGCTACCAGTGTTGCAGGGCCAGTGGTTCAAACTATCAAACCTGGTGGCATCAGTTATCGCCACCGCCATTGAAGACCTTCTGCCCTGCCTACTTGGCTTTGTTCCATGGCGCAGAAGGAGGGTCAGGGCTACCAGCCTCTGGAAGGAGAGGAGATCCTTCTGCCCGCTTTTCCAGGACCTAAATGAATGACAAAGCAAGCATGATAGATGCATGAATGTGCCATGTTTATGTTTGCATATGATGCTATTGATGAATCATCAATATCATCCTTTCTACAGCGTCATGCCCCATATGTAGAATGTTCTGTAAAAGCAATATCACACTTGAGTTTGTGATGTTGGTCTGGATATCATCACTGTTGCTCTTCTCAACCGAAGAGCACTAGCAGGTCCTTGAGTCAAACATCACAAACTCGATTGTGATATCGCTAAATAACATACGGCCTTGTGTACCTGTAATAGCACCAGCTGTTCACCATGGCACTGTTCAGGGCCCAGCTGAAGCATGGCCACCACCACTTCTTGGACCGGATGTTGACTCTGTAGCGGCTGACAAACTGGTCATGCAGGTCCACTCCTCCCATGTGTGTGTTGTAGTCCTGGATACACTTGGGCTGTCTGACCTTGTCCATGGTCCGCTTCTGTTTGTTCCATCTCTTCGCCTCAGTTTCGGTGAACTCCCTCTCCATGTTCGACACCACAGTGACCACGCTGTTGTCATTCCACCTTACAATCAGCTTCTCTACCTCAACCAGATACTCAGCATCTCCTCTGGGTGTCTTCTTGAAGGTCTTGGGTGCTGTGAAGGGAACGTTATGGAGCTGAGTTTGTCGCATCGTGCCACAGCTGCCATAGCCTCTCAGGGTCATCTCATCCACCAGGAACAGGGTTGTGAAGAGGTTGTCGTGGTAAAACTTGACTCCAGGTGGCACTTCAGCTTTCTCTGCCAGGCCAAGAATCACACTTGGACCCTGACCAAGTCCAGTTTCCACCAGATGTGTGTGGCTTCCTACATATGGCTCCATCTGATGGACAAACCCGGAGGAGGATGCTAAGCTCCATATTTTGTACCCAAAACGAATAGGCTTCCCTCTAATAAACTGTTTGCACCCATGCCTTCCAAAATACTCAATCATCATCTCATCTACTGCCACATGTTCTGCTATCGGGATTGCTTTGTTGATGTCATTCAGATGCTTAAAAAGGGGACGCACCTTGAAGAACGGGTCAGCTGTGATCTTCATGTTGTCTACTAAATGAACAGAAGACATAATCTCATCAAACCTGTTCCTCCGCATGGCATCTTTTACAGCAGTGTTGCTGACATCATAATCGTCTGACCAGAGAAGACGCCGCCTTGGGACTGAATTGTATCCACTGATCAACAGAATTCCATAGAATGTCAGAAGTTCATCCTCAGTCAGGTTGAGTGTTTTCCCTTTTTGTTCAGCGTAGAGATTGGACATTTCCAGTGTGGCATCTCTGAGGGACTTGGGATAGAATGTGAGGAAGATATCCACTGGATCATCTGATGTGAAGCCAGGATCATGTTCTTTGGGGACATAGCGAGGGATCTGATATTTTTTGTTGGCTTGTGCTGGTGTTTTGGCCGCAATCTTGATTTTTTTGAATTTCCTGTCTTGGTTCTTAGTTTTGTGGAGCATGGGCCCAACGATCTGACTGGTCACCATTTCATTTGTGCCACTGACCTTTCTAGTCTCTGTCTGACTCACTGAGGATGAGCAGCCAGGATCATCATCGGGGGGATTTGGCAGTTGCATGTCTGAATTAGGTAGAAAGCCTTCACCTTTCAGTAATCTCGATGGGAGGCGGTTATGGTCACCAGTGGCCTCGTCATCAGATTGGTCACTGTCACAGTCTGTGTCATGTGCGTGCATTTCTGACTCAGGCACAACTGTGATGTCCGCCACAGTTTCAGAGTCCTGCAGCATGGCCAGGACCTCTGCTACGGAGTACCTAAGGAAAGGACAACATACATGATTGATTTTTATCTTGACCTATGTTATTTTATGAAAAATGCTTACATACATAGCATACCAGAGGGAAAAGGGGGATTTGTGTGTGTGTGTGTGGGGGGGGGCCATTGTAGGTGTGGTCGTAAGTGGTCGTAAGTACTTGTGTGTCAAGAAAAATGCACCTCCAACTGCACATCAACATTTTTTACCTCAGTAAAACACAAGCTAATGTTAGCTAGCAAGAAAACGATGTTAGCTAGCAAGAAAATTATGTTAGCTAGCAAGAAAATGATATATGGTAATGTATAAAAATCCTATACACACAGGCCTTGAATACCTGTGAATTTATTTAGCTAGGAAGAGTATTCTAAGAGGACTAAAATGAGCCATTGTACATCATTCTACAATTTTAAATAAGCAAATTAGGAGCAATCCTGCAGAATGTGTTTTCGTTTAGTTAGCGACACGCTATGTGCCCACTGGCAACTTTTGTTGCCACTCACAGAAATAAGCCCATGAACAAAAAAATATTTATCCTAGGTACAATTTTTGGGGGGAGGATTACTCTAGAGACTTGAATGATTAAATAATTATAAATATATTTGGGGGGAAAATCATAAGAAATTTATGAAAATTACCTCTTTCCAGGACGATTTGCAACCGCCATGTCTTCAGCCGGAAGGAGCAGGAAGCAGATGATGTCATGCGATAGGAAGCACTTGGAAACGACTTTTTAAAAATCAAAACCTTTGTCTAAGTTGTCTACTAGCATATAAGTGGAAAAAGTTGCATTAGTACCTTTGAGATTTTTTATTGTGAGTCGAAAATGACAGTGATACACTTTGGCAACAATTGTTGCCAGTGGGGCCAAATGGGTTGCCATCTAGAGTGACTATATCTTTAGACAATGAGTCTCTAAGGTTTTTGCGGCCAAGAACAAGAATTTCGTTTTTTTCTGAGTTTAACATCAGAAAATTGCAGGTCATCCAGGATTTTATGTCCGTAAGACATGTTTGTAATTTAGATAATTGATTAATTTCATTGGGTTTGATTGATAGATATAACTGCGTATCATCTGCATAACAGTGAAAGTTAATGGAGTGATTCCTAATAATGTTGCCTAAAGGGAGCATATATAAAGTAAATAGTATTGGTCCGAGTACAGAACCTTGTGGAACTCCATGACTAACTGTAGTATTTATTGAAGATTCATCGTTAACATGTACAAACTGCGAGCGATCTGATAAATATGACTGAAACCAGCTTAGTGCGGTTCCTTTAATGCCAATTTGATGCTCAAGTCTCTGTAAAAGAATATTATGGTCAATGGTGTCAAATGCAGCACTAAGATCTAATAATACAAGTACAGAGACAAGTCCATTGTCAGAAGCAGTCAGAAGGTCATTATTAACTTTAACCAGAGCTGTCTCTGTGCTATGATGAACTCTAAATCCTGACTGAAAATCCTCAAATAAACTATTGTTATGTAGAAAGTCACACAACTCTTTGGCGACTACTTTCTCCAGAATCTTAGAGAGGAAGGGGAGGTTAGAAATCGGTCTATAGTTGGCTAAAACCCCTGGGTCAAGAGTGGACTTTTTAAGAAGGGGTTTAATTACAGCTACTTTAAAGGACTGTGGTACATATCCTGATAATAAAGAAAGATTAATCATATCCAGTAAAGAAGTGCCAATTAAGGGAACAACTTCTTTAAGCAGCCTAGTTGGGATCGGGTCTAATAGACAGGTTGATGGCTTTGATGAAGAAATGATTGAAGTTAACTGATGAAGGTCGTTAGCAGAAAAACAGTCTAAATATATATCTAAGTTTACCTTGACAGAAGTCCCTGAACTTGGAGAGCCACTGATAATTGTTGATGGCAGTTGGTGATTAATTTTTTCTCTAATAGTAATAATTTTATTATAGAAGAAGCTCATGAAGTCATTGCTACTTAAGTTTATGGGGATATGTGGCTCGATAGAGCTGTGACTCTCTGTCAGCCTGGCTACAGTGCTGAAGAGGAACCTAGGGTTGTTCTTATTTTCTTCTATTAGTGCTGAGTAATAGGCTCCTCTGGCATTACGGAGGGCCTTTCTATAAGTTTTAAGATTATCTTGCCAATTTGAGCGATATTCTGATAATTTGGAAGAGCGCCATTTCCTTTCAGATTTTCCAGCTATTTGTTTCGTGTAACACTCAGGTAGCCAATCAGTAAGCCTTTGACTCTTAGCCAGCCAATCAGAACGTGTGTAACACTCAGCCAGCCAATCAGGGGGCGTGTAACGCTCAGCCAGCCTATCAGGAGGCGTGTAACACTCAGACAGGCAATCAGGGGGCATGTAACACTTAGCCAGCCAATCAGGGGGCGTGTAACACTCAGCTTGCCAATAAGGAGGCGTGTCACACTTAGCCAGCCAATCAGGAGGTCTTTGACATTCAGCCAACCAATCAGGAGACGTACACACTCATCCAGCCAATCAGGGGGCATGTAACACTCAACCAGCCAATCAGGAGGCGTTTCACACTCAGGCACCCAATTAGGCGGAATGTAACACTCAGGCAGCCAATAAGGAGGCGTGTCACACTCAGGCAGCAAATTAGGACGGGTGTAACACACAGCCAGCCAATCAGGAGGCCTTTGACATTCAGCCAGCCATTCAGGAGCCGTTTAACATTCAGCCAGCCAATCAGGAGCCGTTTAAAACTCAGCCAGCCAATCAGGAGGCGTGTAACACTCAGCCAGCCAATCAGGAGGCCTGTAACACTCAGGTAGCCAATCAGGAGTCGTGTAACACTCAGCCAGCCAATCAGGAGGCGTGTAACACTCAGCCAGCCCATTAGGAGGCGTGTAACACTCAGCCAGCCAATTAGGAGGCGTCTAACACTCAGGCAGCCAATAAGGAGCCGTTTCACACTCAGGCAGCCAATTAGGAGGGGTGTAACACTCAGCCAGCCAATCAGGAGGCGTGTAGCACTCAGCCAGCCAATAAGGAGGCGTGTCACAGTCAGCCAGCCAATCAGGAGGCGTGTAACACTTGCGCAGCCAATCAGCAGGCGTGTAACACACAGCAAGCCAATCAGGACGCATTTAACACTCAGGCAGCCAATCAGTAGGCCTTTGACATTCAGCCAGCCAATCAGGAGCCGTTTAACACTCAGCCAGCAAATCAGGAGGCGTGTCACACTCAGCCAGCCAATCAGGAGGCATGTAACACTCAGTCAGCCAATAAGGAGACGTGTCACACTCAGACAGCCAATCAGGGGGCATGTAACACTCAACCAGCCAATTAGGAGGCGTGTAACACTCAGGCAGCCAATAAGCAGGCGTGTCACACTCAGGCAGCCAATTAGGACGGGTGTAACACACAGCCAGCCAATCAGGAGGCGTTTAACACTCAGCCAGCCAATCAGGAGCCGTTTAACACTCAGCCAGCCAATCAGGAGGCGTGTAACACTCAGACAGCCAATCAGGGGGCGTGTAACACTCAGCCAGCCAATCAGGAGGCATGTAACACTCAGACAGCCAATCAGGGGGCGTGTAACACTTGCGCAGCCAATCAGGAGGCGTGTAACACACAGCCAGCCAATAAAGAGGCGTGTCACACTCAGCCAGCCAATCAGGAGTTGTGTAACACTTGCGCAGCCAATCAGGAGGTGTGTAACACACAGCCAGCCAATCAGGACGCGTTTAACACTCAGGCAGCCAATCAGGAGGCCTTTGACATTCAGCCAGCCAATCAGGAGCCGTTTAACACTCAGCCAGCCAATCAGGAGGCGTGTAACACTCAGCCAGCCAATCAGGAGGCGTTTCACACTCAGGTAGCCAATCAGGAGTTGTGTAACACTCAGC